AATTACAAAATTGCCCCTTGGGCCACAACACTCAAATAAACTAACATAGGGGTAGAACAGGAAATAACCAAATAAGAATTAAAATGCAGAAAATAACTCATAATTGAATATTTAAATAATGGCCGTCGATTTACGACGCCGCCTGTGATAGATGCGTCAAATCTTCGTACCGATGTCCGCATCATTTTTCCTCGAAGTTTTGTGGATATTCTCTGCTGTTTTTCCAATATTGATAGGTTTTCACTTGAGATTTCAAGTGTTTCCTATCACATTCAAAATCCAATTTAAACAACTAAAATTCAACAAAAAACATTTTGAATTTTAAAATAAATTTCAAATGTGTTGGCACAAGTTTCAAGATAATCATATTTTATTTTCCATTAACATTTAATTCAAATATTTTACAACTTTTTTATGCTTAAAATATTCAATAAATACATAATTATCTCAAATAATAAAAAAATTTCCTCAATTTTATCACCATTAAATTTGAAAAATCGTTTTTAATCGAAATCATGTATTGATTCATTATTTTTTATAATATATTTATAAAATAACATTTAATTTGCATAAGCTACTGTTGTTTTGTTGGAACAGTAATTGTTTAGCTTTCAACTTTATTTTCTACTAGAGATACCCCAACCTTTCACATATATACTCATTTCACATTTTGTTTCTAAGTGTATAGCCACTCATCCATCTAAGCATCCAGATCTCTGCAACATTTAATTTTATGCTTCTCCTTTAAAAGCTAACATTATGTGTCATAAAAGCATTACAGATCTCACCACAATCTTATCTCTTTAAGTTTGATGGGTATTTTTTTATCACACAATAGGCCCAATGCATTCCTCCACTTCAACCATCCAATTTGAATTATACTAATAATATCCTCTTCTATTTCACCATCGCTTTAAACAATAGACTCGAGATATCTAAAATGTGCACTTTTTTAATGACTTGAACAACCAATGTCAATCCCACCACTAGATCTATTATTAATAAAATTACACTCCATGCATTCGATTTTAGATCTACTCAAATGAAAACATTTAGACTCTAAGGATGATCTTCATAATTCAAGTTTTTCATCAACCTTTTTGTAGCTGGTTCCCAAGACCTGTACGAGAAGGTGGAGAATTGCATTAAATAGTCAACAATCAGCATAAAACTTGTCGAACAATCATGACTTGAGTCCTTTAATAAATTGTATTAGTGTCCTCTCAAGGATGAAAATGGGTAGGATAACACCATCTACCTGGCTGAACGTGTGGAAATGAAATAAGGGGTAGCCATATTCAGGAAAATCTTTCATATACATGTAGTTTCCCTAACGCCTTTTACAAGAAGCATCCAACTAAACAATTTCAATTAACACCCATTAAACACACAAAAATAATGATTTTCCTTCCATTATAGAGACCAACTACCCCTTGTAGGAAGCATTAGGCCTAAGTAGACGTTGACTCACTACACAAGGCAGGTATCGACCCTTCTTTAATCAATTTCCACTAAAAGAAAAAATAGCCCTTCTTTAGTACCAGTCACTATGATAATCTAACAATTGATGCGTTCCCAAGTTAATAGGTCTCAAAGCTAACTTTGAGTCAATCGTTGCTACCTCCACCCTAAATGGAAATAGGGATGTATATTGTTTCCACATCCAAGATGAGGGTAGACACAATTTTTTACATTTTAGCACTCAGGACTCTGACTTGCAAATGGACAGCAAGGTCATATACCTTAATTGGAGAGAAATTGGATCTAGTTCTACCACACCATAAGCTTAAATAATGCTCTTTATGGTATGGAAAGAATCCCGATTCAATAGTCTATTGGGACCACGAGCTCCTACTTCCACTTTCCATGATTTTGTAGGTCCCGTCCCACATGATAGCTTCATGAAAAGCTTCTTTAACTTCATGGAAGAAATCCCACATAGGGGAACTCCTTGTTCGGTCGGTTGTACACATGGGCCGGACCATGATGGACCGGTCTAATAAATAGTTAAATATTGATCACCGCCGAAGGACTCCATAAACTACAAGAATAAATGATCTAAAAATAATTTGATTTGTAATAAGATAATAATGAAATGCAAACTAGATTGCATATGTTGCATAGTCTATCTGAAGTAAGTTCCCCTTGAGCACATACACTGATCATGGTACACTCAATTAATTTTAAACTGAACCAAGGATCAGCAATATAGAGTTCTGCTAAACTAAAAACTGTAAAGAGGCGTATTACAAGAAAGTACATATACAGATTAATATAAACAAAACGTTATGAGATCCAGTTAAAGTCAACTGCAATGGGCAGAAGGAAAACATACAAGATTTGTGATGAGGAGAGACACATAAGGAATATATCACCATGTGACCACGTCAAAGGTTTGCAGACATTTCTAAACCTTTTGCTCTTTATCCCGCAACGAGATACCAAGACGGCAGCACGCATAAGAATATAAATAGCCAAGCTGGTATGCTGTGTTTCGAGTCCTGTTAGGAGCATTGAAGGACCAGCAACAGCTCCTGCAAGCAATGCCCTCCATCCTGCAGTCCTGAAGGAAAATGAAACATAAGTTTCTACAACCGTAACACCCATCATAATATATATTGTTTCTACAAAAAAAAAAAGTAGGTGACTGATGAGGACATCAGCAAGAGATTTTGATGCGTTTATCAGAGGAGGCATCGGAGATCAATTGCCACAATCAAGAGCCTTCATTTTTTATGCATTTTGTGTATTGTTTATTTTTATATTTCAGTTTTTCCTAGTTTACCCCTATGGGTAGTTAGTTTGCTATTGAAGCCTTATGAGCATTCTAGTCCTTTTTTCTTTTGTCATGTTGAGGCCTATATATAAGGCCCCTTCTATTGAATTTGGGATGATTTGATGAATAAAATTTTGAGCTTTTCTCTTATTCATTGTTATGAGCTTTGAGAGAAGAAAGAGAACCCTAGAAGAGGGTGATTACAATACCAGTCAGTTTTTGGAAGAGTCCGAGACTCGCAGCTCATCTTTCTCCTTTCCCCCTCCATACATCCAGCCACCTCCCCTTTTCCCAACACCCGTCGGCCTGCTCTCCCCCATCTTCCTCTCCTCTTCTTCCCTAACCGAGCCCCTCCCCACCCCATAGCCGCCAGCCTCCCGTTGGCTCCCCTAGCCGCCAGCTGCCCCTCCAAAGCCGATCGCCGCCGGCCTCCCCTTGGCCGCCTTGCCGCCGGCCGCCCCTCCAAATGCCTCACGAATTTTGAATTTCAAAATTCAAATCCACCTTAATTACTTTCCTAAAATAACTCATATCAATTTGGAAAGTGTCTTTATTTGAAATCAATTCTATATTGGAATTTCAAATACTTTCGACTTTGATAATCCTTAATTATGAAACCTCCCCAATTATATTAAATCTGAAATTAAATTTAGATTTAATTTCAATCTCCAATTAATGCATATGGCCCACATACATTGAATCTAGACCCCTCTCTCCCTCCTCATATGGCCAGCCCCTTCCCCTTACCTTTTTTCTCTCCACTTAATTCTTAGCCCCAATTAAACTCCCCCATAATTCCCTCCTAAGTCGCCAGCACCTATAGCCCAATTTGGGATAATTTGGAATTCAAATTAATCCCTTTCCCTCTCTTGGAAAAATTTGAAATTAAATTCAGATTTTTCTAATTCATCTCTTCCACCTCCCTAGCCTAAACCCAAGAAGTTCCCACGTAAACCCTAGTCGTCCCCCTCCCTTTTCCCTCTCTACACGAAACCCCAACCGTCGGCTCCTCCTCTCCCTTCTCCCATCACAAGTCGCCAGCTCCTCCAAGGATCCCAATAAAGGAGTCTCCCATATTCATAGATGGCCAATCCTGAAGTTGACCACGGATTCGCATATGATTCTCAAGGACAAATTGATATCCTTCAGTCGCCATTTTTTGACCCCGACCGGGAGTTAAAAGATTCCATCGATGATTACGTCGACCACATAATCTTCCACCTAGCCGAGACTATCAACGAACAACGACCCTTCGGACAGTGGCAACTCGTCGGACGTCCACCTGCGCCTCCTTCTCTGGCTACCTTCCCGTGGATCAAGATCGTCGGCATCCTAACTTTCTTGGTGGCGTCGTTTGGATTACTGAAAGTCTCTCTCTGCTAAAGCCTCTCATAGAGTGTGAGTGAGAAAAGGAAACTCTAGGTGAAAAGCTCTAAATATTTATTACGACACATTTAATTTTATTGTAATTTTTCTGATATTATTTTAAGTTGTTACATTTTCCTAAAATTGTGACTGTATGCCAAAGCAAAACATCAATCGAGAGTTCTTAAAATTAATTCTTGTGGCTCATTAATCTTAAAGTGACAAGCTTTATAATAATTTTATTATTTCCTTGCAATTCCTGTTTGTATCACATCAGAGACGGCCCAGATTATATAGGAAAAAAACATAAATGGGCACAAGAATTAGAGAAAATTGGTTGGGTTCATTCCCACATTTGCCCAATATCTATATAATCTTAGAAGAGTTCAAAAAAGAAAATATATAAATTTAGGGACTAAAAATCAGCTATACATTTAATTATAACAAAGCAACCCACACGAATCTGTGAAGTGGGATCCATTAGCACATAGATCAATGAAGTGGCAATGGACTAAATAAGGAAAGATATTGAAAGCTTGAGTGGTGGATGGCAGAAATGGTAGTTGAGCGTGAAGTGAGACAGACTAGAAGAGAGTGGACGGCTAATGAAGCACTAGTTGGAGACAAATTCAATGAAATTATGCAAGAATTGGTTTGTCAAAGTGATATTTTCATACTCCCCTTTAAGCGGATGAATGGATGTCATTTATTTCAAGCTTGCATGATATTTTTTGAAAACTATTCCTGATAATCCTTTGGTGAAAATATCTGCAAGATGCCCATATGTGATGACAAACAGGGCACCAATTAAACCACTATCTAGCTTCTTCTTTACAAAATATTCATTCAATTAAAATATTTTATTTCATCATGTTGCATGGAAATGTGCAATATTGATGGCTAACTTATTGTCATAGTCGAAGAAGCATTGCCTCAATGTTGAGGAAGAAGATGATTGGAGGCAACCCTTCATTGACTATTTCAAAGAAAACAAACTCCCAATGCATAAATCTCTAGCCGCATAAATCCGAAAAAGAGCGTTGCAATATGCGTTTGTCAATGATACACTATACCGATGAGCTTTTGATCAGATGTGGCTAAGGTGCCTAGGGACCAAGGAAGTTGATAAAGAAGTAGTAGAAATCCATGAAGGACTTTGTGGTGAACAACACTCAGGTCCTAAAATGAGCACTAAAATCAATATAATGGGGTTACTATTGGCCGACAATGGTAAGGAATTGTATAGACCACGCCAAGAGGTGCCATGAGTGTCAGATCCATTGTTATGTTATACATCAGCCTCCAAATCCACTGCACCCTATAGTAGCATCCCGACCATTTGAATGTTGGGGTATAGATATAATTGGGCCATTAGATCCGCCATCATCAGTGGGACATCGTTTTATTCTGGTAGCAACAGACTACTCAAAGTGGGCAGAAGCGGCTCCATTCAAAGAACCCACATCTAAGCATATGATCAATTTAGGGGTGTAAGTGAGTCGAGTTTAGGCCCTTATCGAGCTCGGCTCGTTAGATGAAAAGAGAGCTCGAACTCGAGCTCGAGCTCGGCAATCGAGCTCGAGTAGGCAATCGATTTACTGTAAACGAGCTCGAGCCGACTTGCCAGGCATGGGCAGGAATTTTTAAATTTAGGAAGGATTTTTAAAAATTTTAAAAATTAGGCAGGATTTTTAAAAATTAAGCGGGATTTTTAAAACTTTGACAAAATTTTAAAAAAATAGGAAATGTTTAACATTTAAATAAAATTTAGGTGATTATTATTATTATTATTATTATTATTATTATTTTAATTTAATAAATAAAATAAAATTATTTTAAAAATATTAATATTTATTCGAGCCGGCTCGCGAGCTTACGAGCCGAGCCAGCTCGAGCTCGAGCTCGTTTACTAAATGAGCTCGACTCGCGAGCTCGATAAGCTCGGCTCTCGAGCTCATAAACGAGTTGAGCTCGAGCTGGCTCGGCTCACTTACACCCCTAGATCAATTTCTTTACCCACAACGTTGTCTACAGATTTGGTGTGCCACACCGCATAATCTCGAAAAATAGTACGACGTTCAAAAGTACAAAACTTTACAAGTTTGTTGACCAACACAAGGTCGATTGGAGGTATTCGTCAATATATAATCCAAGAGCAAATGACTTGGCGGAGGCTTTTAACAAGACGTTGGTGAAATTGTTAAAAAAGATTCTCACCAAGAACAAAAGAGAGTGACATACGAAGATGACAAAAAGCTTGATGCACAGGTTGGACCACAGGGTTCTGAATTGAACCATACACAAATGAACTTGAACTCAGATTGGACTTGAGTTTGAACTTGATATTGGACAAATGAATGACCAAATGAAAATTGACTTTGATTTAGACTTCAAGGAACTTTAACTTGACTTAACAATTTGAACATAAGGAAGAGCTTGCAATTTGGATGACAAAAGATTTGAATAAACTTGAACTCAATATGATTTGAACTCAAAGGACAATAGGGAACTCGTGGCAGGAGGCCTTCAAACATACGTGACATACAAGTAAATGTGTCAGCTCCTTACATATATTGAAAACCAATGAGAATGAGTGGACATAAAACTGATGATGAACAAGAATTCAATCATCATTTGATTGCAAGCAATCATCAACAAAAATCAAGGATATGTGATCTACTTGCAAGCATTGATCAACGAAAATCAAAGAGAATGCAACAACACAAGTACAGACGATCGTACAAATTTTCCAACAAATGAATAATGTGAAACTCATAGTGCTCAAGTCAATCAATCTATGAGTAAGAAAAAGGAACCTATAATACAGCATTCATCCCGAAGGTGAAAATCAAGGACTGATAAAAGTATTAAACTTTGAGTTTATTTTAGATATTATGAAATTTGATGTACTAAGCCCAAAGTTATGATTCCTTAAAATTGTGCATGAACTAATTTACCACACCAAAATCATAGACAATATCAAGCATAATATGTGATAAGTATAAAGGTTTTTCCACAATATTTAATAAGAGATTTTTTCAATAAATTGCCTTTTAGAACATCTCCAAAATTTATGATTAAATTTTATGAGGCTCTCCACAGGATTGCATCCGATTTATCAGTTTATTTTAGTATATCCTTTTTATATATTTCTAGTGTGATGTAAAGATTACATGTCAAGATTGTGCAACCTTAATGCCATGGAAGAACTTTAGCTTAGCTAATTCTTTGACTTTGAATTCTTAGAGCAACCGCTACTTTAAAATCTCCATACCTTTCAAGTTACTATCTATGACAATGATATCGTCGACATAAACTAGTAGTGTAGATACTCTTTTGAAGCATATCTTTCACAAATAATGTATGGTCGCCTTGACTCTGCATGTATCTCGATGTTGAGTATTACCTTAGAAAATCTCATGAATAATGCCCTTAGAGATCACTTCAATTCAAAACAATCTTCAATCCATACAATAGTTTTTTTTGTTTATATACCTTTTTATTTTTTGTCTAAGTCAAATGTCATGGGACCTCCATACATATATCCTCCTCTATATTATCATCTAAGAATGTCTACATCATATCAATTTTTTTATTTTTTCAATCCTTGGCAATAGCTAATTATAAAGTAACTCCAACAGTGTTCTAATAAGCGCAAAAGTTTCAAGATAATCAATTACATATTTGAGTATAGCCTTTTCCCACTATTATGGATTTATAATTTTATAATAAGTTATCGGATTTGTATTTTACAATAAAAGCCCACGCTACTTGTTTTTCTCCTTTTGATAGATCACCAATTCTCATATTTTGTTCATTTGAATGGGTTCGATTTCTTCTCTCATAGCATTATTCTAATTCTCATTATTTAAAACCTAGGAGATGATTTTAGGGACATAATGGAGGCTAGTAAAAAAAGATTGGCAATAATGGAAAAGATTTTTGTTTGATAAGAATAAGTGCAAAGTTTGTTTAGTTGAAATACTTTTATTTACAAGGTCCATAGTTAGGTTCAGTGCTAGGAATTGATTCTGCTAATTGGACTTAGATATCTTTAGATGCCTTCATAATTGAGTAAACCTATAATGATTAAGTAAAAGGTCGTTCAAGTAAAACCTTGATTTGTGTAGAACTAGCTGATTAAATAACTAGGTTGCTTGCTGGGGTGTAGGGTAAATAAGGGCAATATAGAAGAAAATTTTCATTTCTGAATGATATGTCTTCCTTGAGGTATGCAGCAGCAAAGTAGAAATCCCTTCACTGAAAGTGAAATTACCAGACAGATAACTTTCTCATAGGGCATGGTGGCATTTGTATCCTTCTTGAGTGGAAGAGAGGTTAATAAAAACATATTTAATTGCTCTATCATGTTTCCTTTATTTTAAGGATGTGTATAGACAAAGGCAACACTTCATACTGTTTTTGGGAAAAGATTACTTGAGTTGTTAAAGCGAAGAAAGAATATGGCTAAAACTAGTGTAAGACACTTAAAACTCAAAAATCCTAATAGGTATTTATGATGTGAGCACTTGCTAAAATAGCTTCCCACTAATCTTACTTTAGAAAATTATTTTGAAAAAGAGAAAAGGACTAAAATGGTCCCTCAAACTCTTTTTAAGGGACCTAAATGGTCCCCAACTCTTTTGGGAAACCAATTTGGTCCCTCAACTACTTAAAAAGAGGCCTTTTTGGTCCTAACATCAAAATTTGAGATTAATGGTGTAAAATCTAGCGGTATTTTGGAAATTATTTATTAAATATAATTTTCAAGTAATTTTATCTCTAGTCCCCCCCCCCCAAGAAGCTATTTAATTTGCATCAATAAATTTATATTTCTGATGTTAATTTTCAAGTATTCTTGAGAGCCTCTTAGGGTATTCATCTTCCATCCAACGACAATTAAGATGATTAATTAGGGATTACTATTAAACCAAAAAAACTTTATTTATGTTTGAAACATCAGTGCCATGTTATGATAAATCTTTTCTCAAACAAATTGGGAGTCAATGTAACATGAACTAAAAATGAAAGGAAAGAAAAATAGCAATAGACACTTTAAAATGTCCTGACTTAAGAATTCCTAAATATTTCTTTAGCATACTCATAGAATTTAGGAAACCATAAATTGCCTGGTCAAGTCTATGTAAAAATAATTATTGGCTTGACAAGAAAACAAAAGCTCGACAAAAGAACAATAGAAAAAGAAGAAAGCATCTAGAATAGAACAAGAATAAATATGTCACATGTGCTGTTAATAGGAAAAAAAACTGATAAAAAAGACAAAAACAAGAAAGAAAGGTATGAAAGGAAGAGATTTTTGAGCGGGAGAAGGAATCGGAATCATTCAATGCTACATGACTTAAGCAGCCAATTGATACGGGGAGCTAGATTCGTTTAAATCTAAGATGAAGAAATAGACAAAATTTGTTGAAATGAGCAGATAATGAAGTAGTTTGATGTCAATAACTACCAAATATCACATTCTTTTTTAATTTTTGTATATTATCAAACTCAACGCTATAATATTATCTAATTTTTCTCACAGTAAACTAGAACAGTGCAAATTACTAAATTTATTGGAAAGAAAGCACAATCTTCCCAAACACAGAGAGATTGTTATACACATTGCATCCATTCACAATTTTAAGTGTTAAACAACTATACACTCTCAGAATCACATGATCTATCAGACAGAAAATGTCTACAAATTGGAATAAATTAGCAGTACTCTTCACATACATTCGATTTCCATAAAAAAGTTTAAAGGAAAACAAGGCAAACGAAGCGCTAATGGTATAAGCCAATCACCTTTTGTGACCCCATATAGCAGCAATCAACTCATCGACAGCAACAAAAGTTCCAGCATACGCTCCTAAAAAAATGCCATATTTCAGTGTCTCCTTCGCAGCACTCACCACGACTTCTCCATTTGTGATAGACACCGCCTTTCTAAAAAGTTACAACGTTTACCAAAAGGATGACAAAATATCGACCAGCGAGATAGCTAAAAGAAAAAACCATAGATGCCCTCACCTTGTCGAATAGCCCTTCGATCCGCGGCTCCTTAGGCGAGCAAGGATGGAGAAGAGAGCGAGACCCCCTTTGAGGCCGACACCAACGGAGAAGCCCTTGATGGAGGCCTCCAGGTACCTACGCAGCCACCTCCAGTCCTCCTCTGGCGTCATCCCGATCCCTTCGAGCAGAGCCGAGAAGAAGTGTGGGCGTGCCAATGGGGCATCGCTAGCTTCTCTGCAACTACACCCGGGTTCACTGGTTCCCGACCGACCATCGGCGCCATCCTCCCGCGAGTGGCCGGTATGAGAGCCAACGGCTGAGAGCCCAACCATGTCGGGATAACCGGAGGGAGGTGAGAGTGAGCGCGCGGTCGCACAATGGCGTCGGCTATTTGGCCATTCAAACAAAGAATGAGAGATTTAAACGAGTAGTTTTAGGCAGGCTGAACGGACGCCACAAAGCATTACTTGAAAAGTAAATATGCCTTAGCTTGTCTTATTAATCGGCCTAAATGGACCCAAAAATAAATAAATGTTTTAAAGAATTAGTTGAGTGCTGTTATGTATGCAAATGCTATTGCGTCTATTTTTTAAATAAATTGGCGTCTTAGTATTTGCATTTTTATTTTTAATTTCTTAGAAAATAATTTTAGTTTAGGGATTTACATTCATATCATTTAAATTATAATAATTTATATATTTAACACCACTCAAAATATGGAAATAAAAAATCTCAATTATAATCCACTCACATCATTAAGGTTCGCCTCATATCATCTTTTATTGTCAAGTTTATTACTCATTGTTGATCATCATAAGCCTAGTCGCCTTTGACAAGAGGTGGATCGCTGACAGTCCCAAAGATGATACAACTGGGTCTCTCCTTAGATAGAACTATAGCTTAAACTCTGAGTAGAATCTCAGCTAAGACAAGAAGACGTGCATGTATTGAATTCCAGACGTAGCTCCGTATGGACTCCAATAAAAACGTGACACATCACCTATACATAATGTGTGTACATGTTTATATATATATATATATATATATATATATATATATAAGCTTGTACATACTGTGTACAAACAACATTGAGAATTTTTATTGGAGTCTAGACGCCGCCCGGACTACGCACTTAATAATCTCTCCAAAATAGGAGAGCAACCATCATACAATATAATGTCTAGCATTGCATATAGTATAGTGAGGTGGGAGACAACTACACCATGGGGATGCACAATTGTGTGTAGAGGTTATGTGGGCAAAGGGAGCCAAAACTATCCAGGGTTATGAAATAGATCAAACGATAGAAGCATGAGGAGTGACATGCAATGTTAACATAAGATTGAATCAAAAGTGAGCTCTCTCTCTCTCTCTCTATATGATATTCAATGATAAATTTAAGATTTTAGTATAAATTCATATAAACATCTCCATTGCATTACATCACAAGATTAAATTAACATTGCATATTGAAAAAAAAAAAATTTGGATCCTCCCCACACCACCAGTCCTGATACTAACAATGATGCAATACGCAAGGAATAGTTTTATCAGAGAGGAGCAATAACTAAAGAGAGAACACAGATCTGATGACTACTAGGATTAGAAAGAAACTTAGACATCATTTAGAACGGCTTTTTTACTAATTTTTAAAACAATTTTCTAGTATAAAAATTTTAATTTTTTACTAAAAAGCCGTTATAAGAAATAATAAAAAAATCATCCCAAACGAAATCTTAATTTCAATATTGCATCACTAAATAAACCTACACTCAAGAGAAGCCATACATGAATTATTACATAAAAGACCACATCAAACAAAAAAACTACAAAAAAAAAAAAAAAACTTAGAACTTGCAATAACACCTATTAAATAAAACTAAATCAAATTTATCTTTGCATTAGATATCCACAGCTTTTCAGCATGTAGCTGCACAAGTACTTGTGCGATTCTGAGTTTTCTTATTATTTTTTAAAATAGCTTTTTACTGTAAAATTTTTTTGAATTAGAATTTTTTTATTAAAAAACTGTTTTAAAAAATAGTAAAAAAGTCATATAGACTTCATTTGGGATGGCTTTCTTACAGCTTCTTAAAGCAGCTTTATAGTAAAAAAAATTAAATTTTTGTACTATAAAGCTATTTTAAGAACCGGTAAGAAAGCAATCCCGAACAAAACCTAAATCAATACATAAGAAGAATTTCACGGACTCCCAGACACCACATGATCAACATGCATATAATACTTCTTTTATTCCATATTGACCACGTAAACATCATAAAATATATATAAAGAAATGCTAAAAAAATCATGAAGTACAAGTGAAGACATGTTATTGGATCATGAAAACTATAAATATGGCAACATTTTATAATGGCAAAAGCTTATTAAATATCTTGAAGGAAGAAGAATGAATGTGGAAGGCAAACGGCCACCAAAGCTACATACGATTATTTTTCCAATGCGAAGTTGGAACGGTTGGAGTTAGATAACCTAACCCAACGATAATGAAGAGAAAACAAATGAAATTCAAATTATATAAAATGGTTTTGTGATTAGCTCGGACAAGAATAGGAGAAGAGGTCCATTGATATGGAACTTGCCGAGTGAATTGTTCATTCTTCAATTCATATTAAGAGTTTGATTAAATTATTATTCATCTAAACATAATAACATCTACTAAATATTGATAATTAGTAGAAGTTATTATATTCAAATGCTCTGATTATTTTTATTTGTGATCAGGAGCGGAACTGGTATTAATTTTTCAGGGTGGCAAATTTATAAGTAAAAATATAGAGAATTTTTCTATATATATATATATATATATATATATATATAAGATTTATTTTTTTTTACTAATTTTATATAATGACTAGGTTGAAGTATCGATGATTTGTTTGCAAAAAAATCAAAATGATGCAATTGATTAATCATTCAATTTCTACAAAAATGTATGTTGGAGTTGCCTTGAATTTGGTTCGACCCATATTTGTTCATTTCCTTGATCATTGTACAATTCGCAGATAACAAATGTTGGTTATAATGATATTTTTCTACTCTCTTTGTTTTTGGTTCATCATTCCCTAACAATAATACCTTTACACAATGTGTTTAATTATGCTTGTGACAATTGCCTAATGATCATAGTATTTTAAAACTTTTAGGAGGATAATTGCCTAAAAATATTTGTAATAAAGACTAAAAAACAGATTGAGAGGACAAATAACATAAAGAATCATATAATAAAGATTTTTTTTTTTTTTTTTTTTTTTGGGGGTTTTGGGAAAATTGGGGGGGGGGTGTTTGTGGTAAGCGTTATTATGACCAAATTGACATCCATTGATTTATCACTGAATTAGCCAACTCCCCCATTCATATTAAAGCACTGAGTGATGGCATAAGTCACATAACATACCATAAATCACCTCATCATTCATCGCCTTTTGAGTTTTCTTTCTTAGTTCATTTTCATTATACACTTCTTAACTATTCATTTATCATCAAATTAGGCGATGTCTCAGCCTTCAATGAAAGGTAGGGCCATCGCTTACCTTTTGCCTGATCGTAAGGGTCTCAAAGGCTAAATTTTTAAAAGGAACCGATTAGCTATTTAATTTAGCATTAGGGACGTAATTAAAATAATTATGTTTCTGTTAATTTGTAGTAGCAAATAAATATGGTAGATAAATATCTTAATTTTGTATTATTGCTTGTGCTAAATATATAATAATTTTAATTATTATTTGATATTAATAAACGTTAAGATTAATATTAAATTTGCTATGGCAACATGTCATACAAACTGAGTTGTCCAATAGCCTAGGATCCTTTGTTTGTTAAAGCGAGATTAGTATTTATGATATTGAATTCCTGACAAAATAATTATTCATTATTTAAGATCATGTAGTTGTTGCTTCATGTAATTGGTGACAGCAACAATCATTTTTTGTAGATACGATATCACCAGATATAACACGAAAAAGAAGCTGGCAACTCTGACATTGATGACATGCAAGAACTTGATTTCGATAATGTTATTCTTTACCATCCGTGAAATTTAGGATGATTTTATTGTGGACCTATATAGGAAACTAATGAATAATGTATTACCTGATGGTATGAGAAGAGACTTCTTAAATAGGGATGATCGGAAAAATCTTCAATATGAGTTTGAGTTTTTCTTTAAATGTTATCCTACTCAGACTTAACTCTAAAATTGGTTACATGTGTTGCTTAATAAGAAGTGAAGATTTGTAGTTCCAATTATGATGTTGTAAGAAAGTAATTATCAAATTTAAGTTCTTCTTGTTCTATTCTTGTTTAGGAAGTAATCAATTTATTCATTTATATTATTGTTAATTATAAATCAATATTAATTACATATTAAGTATGTTAATTTTATAATATTAGTTATGCTAAATATATATTAATTATAATTACTATTTAGTACTAATAATCTTTAAGATTGATTTTAATAAATTTCTTCATATAAATTATACATAATCCAAAATACTTCAAAATGCTGAATTTAACAAACATCTAAATTTAATACATTCACATAACTCAATATCACTTCATAACATCTAAGTCCTCTTTCATGGGATTGTATATGTGCTAGGGGTATACCTTGAAAGTCCTCGTCTAATGATATATGCACGGGTCGTCCATAGGTCATTCCTTTTGAGGCATATTGGAGGCATCCATGCCATTACAGTCTCACTATATGGCATTAATATAACCTGAGATAATGTATTGATATTGAAGAAAGGGTAATATAAAGTTATGCTTGTGTTATGAATATTATATAGTGACATGCATGTCATTGTTGTAGGTCATCCAGCTCATCTCTACATGTTAACATGTTCCTCGCTAGTACCACCCGGACCCTCTCCTCCACCAATCTACATCATACATAGACTCCAGTCAATGAATGATGTTTTCATATAACATAAAAAATAATATGCAAGTTAGAAATACTTGAATCCCAACAGCTTCCCAACTATATCACGAGGAAAAGGCATCCGAAGTGTCAACCTGCCAACATGTAATCGCTCCCAAGACCAAACTTTGTAGAAGGGGCAGGCATCCAGTAATATATGATTGTGACGGTTTTGTTGATAAGTGATGGGGACGATGGAGTAACCTAAAGAATTGTGAAAATAATTTGTGGCTCTATCAATCCCTAAATAATGCTTAGATTTTCTTTGATATTAAAATTATAAAAACTCCATTTAATATTCACAAATATACGTGTTGAATCAAGTAATATAGTGATAGAGTAGAGTATCGATCCCACGAGAAAGATTATTTAACTTGCAAATACTAGTACTGTCTACTACAACTATAACAATTATCTTACTCAATAAAAATATGTTTGGTGGCGATTTAATCACTTAATTTAAAATGAAAAATAATTAAATGAAATACTATTTAAATAAATT